CAGCTTTTTGTCTTCGAAGAACAGCGTCCGCGGCGGCGCGAACAGCGAGTCCTGCTCAAAATGAACCAGACACGGTCAAAAATGGCGGTGGGTCTGATGAGTTGCACGTCGACCGCAGTCTCCCCCGCGCGTGCCAACTTTGAGTTTTGGGGAGCGGGGGTGTGTCCACTAAGTGTATCCCCCATACCGTGTGTCACGTCGCTGCACGGCAACGAAGTTACCGTGGCAGGTCTGCGCCACCACGGTGCCAGTCGTTGCACGGCAACGATGTTGCCTTGCCAAGGTTGCGCCACCGTGGTGCTCAAGGCATCCTCTCTTTCCTCCTGCAAATCCTCGCACTCCTGATCTTCGTCCCTCCCCTACTCCTGATCATCGCCCTCATCGCCCTCACACTCCTCACCTTTCTGCTCCTCCTCCTCCTCCTCTTCTTCCTCCTCTTCTTCCTCTTGCCTCCCTCATCGCACTCCTCCTCCTCCTCCTCTTCCTCCTTCTCCTCCTCCTCCTCCTCCTCCCTTCGCCGCACCAGGACCCGTCGCGCAAGCCGACTCTCTCGATTGTACAAGAAGTTCTTTTTATAGAAAAACGCAGGGGAGAGTGCTCAAGAGGAACGATAATAATCCATGGCGACTCGCCATGGGCAATGCGCATGCTCCAACAGAACGATGGGAGTTCGACCGATGAACGAGCAGGTGGGGACACGCGGCACAACCTCCCACATAGTCTTTGCATTCCTCCTCCACCTCCTCTTATCCTTCTCCTGACCTTTCCCTTCCGAATCCTCGCGCTCATCATTATCCTCCTTCTGGAGCCCAGAGGTTGAGAGAGAGAGATAGGGAGAGAACAAAAAAAAGAGAGATTGAGCCACAACAAAAACAAACCCTTGATAAGGAGCCCAATTCTATACACCGACGCTTTTTCCGTGCCCTGCACTGAAACTCGCACAGGAAAGCGGATCCTGGTGTATACAGGGTTCCGGTGTATACATGTTTCGTTCTTGCTACGGGAAAATGGGGGAACAAGTATACACCACACCACCCCGACGTCGTCGCCGACCCTCGAAATTTCTTGGGATTGAAAAACAACCCGCCACTGGTAATGTAGATGCTGCAGTTTCCGACGTGAGGTCGTTTGTTTGTGCGCGGTTCCCCACATAAGACGAATTCAGAACTGGGGCTAAATCGGACTGGGGCAAACGGGGGATCTCTGAGGTCAGGCGGTTCTGGAGGATGCATCAAGCACCGCGGCCTCTCCAGAGCACTCTGGGACGCTCTGAGAGCATGAGCGCTCTGGAGCGATAGACCCCAGTCCTTGGCCCGCCCGAGGGACATGCCTCTGAGGTCGTGCTTTTCTGGCCTGCGGGTCCCCACAGCTCCCGACCCTTTCCCCGGGATCTGTCTCTCCTCGCGGATCGCTCTCCGATGGCCCTGGGCCCCCGAGTAGAACCGCGCCAGGATCCAGGCGTGACCACGGCCTCGGAGGCCCGAGCCCCGGGAAGAACTCTCGACCATCGAACATGTATGATCCCGGCCCCCGGTCCAGCGGCCCCCCCCCCGATGGGATGAGTCCCAGGATTCGACGGCCCCCCCCCCAACCCCCCCCCGATGGGATGGGGGGGGACGACGTCGCCGCCGTCATCGTCGCCGTCGTCGTCGTCGCCGTCGTCGTCGTCGCCGCCGCCGTCGTCGTCGCCGTCGTCGTCGCCGTCGTCGTCGCCGTCGTCGTCCCTCCCTCTCCCCCCTCCCTCCGACGTGAAACTGCTGAAAAGATATTCGTTGTTTAGCATTTTCACGTCGTGCGTGGACGCAATATGTTCCGTCTCGACTATTCGTCCGGCAGACGCACGCCAGATTGAGCGCGCACGTGACATCATCGGAAGTGGCTCACCCGCACTGTTTACGGCGAATATGCGCTAGCACAGTGGCACCACACCTCCGTCAACTGTAACAGTTTTACGTCATGCCTGGGACGGCGATGCGTATGCCGATGCGGATGCCGATGCCGAGTCTGAAGACTCTGACGCAAACGACGACGACGACGAAGACGAAAACCACGACGACGGCCCCCACCACCCCACACCCACAGGCCACAGGACACACCACACCCACATGGGGGGGGGGGGGGGGGGCAGGCCCATCGGGGGGAGGGGGGCCCAATACCATCAGCATGGTGAAGGGGGGGGGCGGGACCTGAATCATATATAAGATCAGCGCTGCGCCGAGGAGGGAAGTGAGACGGGCAAGCCTTCTCAGAAGGAGGATGATCGAGGAGGGAGAGGAGGAGGAGGAGGAGGAGGAGGAGGAGGAGGAGGAGGAGGAGGAGGAGGAGGAGGAGGAGGAGGAGGAGGAGGCGGGGGGGCGTCTCAGAACCCGTGCAGCCTTCTGAGAGGCCTTCTGCGGCTCCGGAGAAGGCTTGGACAGCTTCTCAAAAGTGAGGGGTCCCAGGGACACCCGAACAGACAGACACACATCCAAGGATTCCTCATAAGTTTCCCACTTTTTCTGGGTTCTCGTCTTCCCCGCACTTCCCATATGTTCCATTAGTTTCCTGGGGCTCGACGATTTACTTGTGTCTGTGTGTCTGTGTCTGTGTCTGCGTGTATGCGGTGTGTGTTGTGTGTTGTGTGTTGTGTGCTGTGTGGTGTGTGTCGTCTGTTGTGTGTTGTGTGCTGTTTGTTGTGTGGTGTGTGTGTGTTGTGTGCTGTGTGTGTCTGTTGTGTGTTGTCTGTTGCGTTTTGTGTGTGTTGTGTATATTGTGTGCTGTGTGTTGTGTATGATGTGTGTTGTGCGTTGTGTGTTATGTGTGTTGTGTGTTGTGTGTTGTGTGTGTGTTGTGGTGTGCGTTGTGTGTTGTGTGTTGTGTGTTGTGCGCTTTGTGTTGTGTGGTCTGTGATGTGTGGTGTATTTTGCATTGTGTGTTGTGTGCGTGTTGTGTGTTGTGTGATGTGTGTTGTGTGGTGTGTGCTGTGTGTTGCGTGTTGCGTGTGTGGTGTGTGTGGTGTGTGGTGTCTATTGTGTGTGGTGTGTGTGTGCGTGTTGCGTGTTGCGTGGTGTATTGTGAGATGTGTGTTGTGTGTTGTGTGTGATGTGTGTGTGCGCGTGTGTGTTTGTGTGCGTCTCCCCCTCCTAAACAAGAAGGCCCGAGGCCTTTCGAAGCGTCCGAGCAGGCCCGCCCCCCTCTGCCCTCGCCCCCTGGGCGCGGCGCCACGCACCCGAGGGACCACGAGGCGCAGAAGCAGATGAGGGGCAACGATAGGGGGGGACTGGCATAGGGGGGATGCATCGACATGGAATCGACGATACATCGCCGATAGATCGGCGATAGGCCCCCGCGAGTGAATCCGCACCTTCCTGGGCGGGTTGGAACTATCGGGCCCCTATCGGCGATCAATGGGCGATTGGGATCGATGCATACCCTCCTATGCCTATTCCCCCCGATCGTTGCCCCTGAGCAGAGCCTCTCAGAGGCCCAAGCAGACCTCTTTAGGTCGGCGCTGGGCCCCCCACTCCCACCAGCCCTTCTGGCGTTGGTGGTCTAGGGCGGCTTCTCGTCCAGCCCCTCCCTCTTCCTCTTCGGGGATGGGCGCATCGTTGTTCCTTATTCATATACACCCCCTCCCCCAGGCGACCAGGGGCCAACCCGGAACCATGCCGACTCCATGCGGGCCCGCCCCCCACCATCCCTGTCAATAAACAATACAAACCGCACTCAGCACCCACATTTGGAGCATGCGCGGCCAACCCGATGCGGCCCCCCCCCACCACCCCTGTCAAAAAACAATGCAAAGTACACTTCGTGAAGCCCGCGAGCACTTCGTATTGTTTTTGACAAAGCGGCGGGGGTGTCAGCATATTCCCTGCTGTGCGCAGGGCTACCATCCCTGACAGCAAAAAAACAATACAGCATGCACCTCGCGGCTAAATCTGGATCATGCGCGGCCATCCCGCGATCACTGTCAACTGGTTTTTGACAGGGACGGCGCGGGTGGCGCGTGGCCTGCTGTGCGCAGGCCCAGCAGACAACCTGATGGGCATCGGTTTTCGACAAGGATGCCGGGGGCCGACATGTTTCCCGATGTGTGCTGTCACATGCGCAGGCGCACCTGACGCACTCTGCACGTGCCCCGAACGCGGCGCATCTGGCGCGGCTGGAGTGTGCACACCTCGCGCACTCGGAGCACGTGGCGCATCTGGCGAACCAGGCGTGCCTGGCACTCTCGAGCCCCAGGGGTGCCTGGCGCGCGTGGCGCCCCTGGCACGCGTGGCGCACCTCGCCCAAACGTCACGCCCAGTAGCTGCCCATCCAAAGACGACCGCTGCACATCCTCAGGCTCGGATGTTACTTATGTTGGGAGGGCGGGTGGGAGTAAGCTAGACGGCTTGCGGGCGGGTGGTGTCTTGACCCCTACCCCTACCCCATCCCCTGGACCTGGATGGGAGGTTTCGCGTGGCGTTGGAGCGTCCAAGATGGCCCAAGATGGCTCTAGGAGGGCCTCAGAGAGCCCAAGATGACCTAGACCCCAGGGCTGCGACTCAAGGAAGCCGCTCGGACCTCTGGAGGTGCATGCTCATACGACTCTTGCCTCTCGATTCTCGAACCTCGATGGCCGAAAGTCGAGGGAGAGAAGGAGGGGGGGAGGGCGTGGAGGCCAGAGCACCGCACCGCACCGCCGATGCCTCGGCGGTGCATCCGCGACGTCGGGGTGGAGAAAATCTGGCTCCGCATCGCGCCGCTTCGCCGATGCGTCGGCCCCGCGGCGCGATCCTCCGACCCCGCCTGCCGCGGCCTCCCCAGAGATCCGACGCTGCAAAAAAATTGGAGCGGCGGGAGTTTGGCAGTCTGGGGCCTCCAGGGGCCCTCGCCTGGCCTCGGGAGCATCAAACACACGAGTCGGGACGAAAAGCCGGCCCTGGGTGAGCGGTCTGGACCTTCGGGGCCCACGCATCGAAGAAATTAGAGCAGCCGGATGTCTGGGATCCAAGCGGCTGGGACGGAGGGACAGCCTGGAGCGGCCCTGACTCGCGTCGTCGGCCGGTCCGTCAGGACGTTCCTCGCGGCCAGCGGCCCGCGCGGGGAGCGGCGGGGCGGGGTCTCGCGGCATAGAGTCCGCTATGTTAGGTCCCACCCCATGGGGCGCCACCCATAAAGTCTTGCCCAAATGCCCAACGCATGGGGCTGCAACCCCAGGAGGGAGATCAGGAGGAGGAGGAACAGCAGGAGAAAGAAGAGGAGGACGAAGAGGACGAGGAAAATGAGGAACTGGTGAATGAGGACGTCGACGAAGACGAAAACGATGAGGCGCGCGGGGTTCAAAGTACTCGTGTTCGCTCACGGCTTCTGAGGGGCTGGACCCGATTTACACTCGCCGCCTGGGCTGCGGAATTCTTCTGAGAACTCTGGAAATTCCTCGAAGCCTCGGGGGCCTCAGGAGGCCAACGCGCGTTCAAAAACTTCGATCCTCGAGGAATCTCGTCCTCGTCCCCCTCCTCCTTCTCGTCCTGCTCCTGCTCCTCCTGATACCTGACTCCTGAAGGTATGAGGATCCGACGTATGCTGCCATCCCCCCCCCGAAGGGCTGGTCGGCCCGGGGGGTGGGATCAAACTAGGGAAGCAAGCGACTCCTTGGAGCGTTCGCTCCAGGGGACGCTGGCTGGTGAGGCACATGGTCAAACAAATGAACGACAGCAGAAAGTGCATAGCAAGAGAGAGAGAGAGGGGGACAAAACCGAAACTCAAGAGGGACGAGAAGGAGAGAACTGTGGCGGCGGCGGGCGTGGAGGCGTGGCGCAGCCGCACTCACCAAGGTGGATGGCGCAAGGGCCTCTCCGAACCCCCGTAGGTCACGCTGTAGGAAGTGCCCCAATCCAGCCAGAGAAACCCTGCCCCACCGAGGTGGTCAACGGGTTCCAACTGGAGGAAGTCGGGCCTATCGGGGGTGCCCAATGGGGGGGGCGGAGGTTTGCGCCATCCGCGGCGGCGGCAGCGGTTGTAGTTCCCTTTTCCTCCTCCGCCTCCCCCTCCTCCTCCTCCTCCTCCTCCTCCTCCTCCTCCTCCTCCTCCTCCTCCTCCGCCTCCGCCTCCGCCTCCGCCTCCTCCTCCGTTGGCGGCCCTCCCCACCCCGCCTTTGGGCGCGGCGCAGCGCGGCGCTGGAACGCGCCGCCGCCCTGCTCTGTGGCGGCGCGCGGAGGGTCCCCAGGGGCACGGCAGCTTGGCCCTCCGGGATGCGTCGCACGAGGGCTCAGCTGGCATCGCCGGTGGTGGGTCTCGAGGCAGCTGCTCCCGTTGCTGCTTCTCCTGCTTGCGACGCTGCAGCTCCAGCGCAGGGTCGCGAAAAGCGCAGGCGTCTTCACGTGCGCACCGCTGACGCGGCGGGCCCCAGGGGCAGACGGTGTTGGCGTCGCGCCCCCGGTTTGGGTGTGAGCGGGCCTGGAAGGTCGGACCTGGCACTCGCCCCGTCGGCAAAGTGTCACTGCACCGACCTTGCAGACGTGCTGCAGCAGATTGTTGCGTGGAGTTCTGTCGATGCAGAACCCCGAAGTGGCGAGCAAAAACGAAGTGAATTTCGCGTGGATTTGTTTTAGTCTTCCTTCATGGCCAAACAAATCCGCACGAAATCCACTTCGAAGTCTGGAACGAAATTCTCCAGGGCAATCCGTGCCCATCCCATCGTTGACCGAACGAAATCCGCTCAGCGATGTTGGCGTCATGAAGCGTGGCCTGGCGGTTATCGGGAGAAGGCCCTCCCCCATGTGGCTGGGTGGCTGGTGAAAGAAACACGGCTCTCACTAACTCAGGCCTCCGGCCTCTGTTTGCATAAGTGGCGGCTTAACACCTACGGCACTCATCATCCCCAAGCCTCCAGCCGCTGTTTACAGAGTCATCAGCAAGCCACCCGCGACAAGATCGCGAGTGGCCGTGTCAGATTGCGCCGTACAAGCCGTCGAGTACGGCGCTCGAGACGCCCCGATTGACTCGGCACGTAGAGCGCGGTTGCCAGCCGCGCGTTCGCAGCTGAGGGTTCGATCGCCCTGCCGAGTGAGGCCGCGGCACTTGTCGCAGGACGCCTCGTCTGAAACGTCGTCTGGCGCAGCGGGTGCTTCTGCCGTGGCCCCCCCCCCCCCCCATGGTCCATGCCGTCCGCATGGGACTCGTGGTGGGCCGCTTGGGGGACGTCCACGGACCGCCCAGTGACGGCCAGCGAGAGCCTCTGCGCGTCGGCCAGCGTCGGCTCTTTGTGCGCGGGGCGGTGCTGCGCCTCCCTGAGGGCGCGCTGGCAAGCGTGCCTGCTGATAGTCCGCTCCTGGAGAAAGCCTTCCTGCCCACCCGCAGCGCCCACGACAGGAGTGCTGGCCCCGTCGAGGCCGTCCTCCCTCGCATGCGTTGTTGCTTTGGCCATTGCCGGGTCCTCGCCCCGTTGTATCCTCCGGCCGCTCAGGGCCAGCGCCCAGGGAGCGCCCTGGGCCCCCCTTCTGTGGATGTGCCCACAGTTGGCACTGCTGCGGCGGCAACACGCGGAGCCTCGTGGTTCTTCTGGCCGCCCAAGTCTCCCTGCAGGTTGCCCAGGTTGGCCCATGTCTGTTGCTCTGGTTGGCGCCGCCCTCGGCCACGAAAGCGGGCTCGTCGACGTCGCCTCTGGCAGATGCGAGGACGGGGAGCATGTCAAGGCTGAGGGACCCACGGACGAATTCTGCAGCATGCTGGTTGAGGGGTGACACCTTCCTGTTCTCGTCTTCATCATTCGTGCCGTCGTTGCCGCGCTCGGCTCTGCCGCCGTGGTCGAGGTGAAGGCGGACGGCGGCACGTGTGAGTGGACTGTTTCCTGGAGGTTCATCACAATCTTGTCAATTAGCCGCGTCATGGTCATGATCAAGGCTGGTACGTCCTTGCGCAAGGTTAGGCTTTTCAATCCGCGTCCAGCCGGGGCGACGAGTGGCTCCTGTCCTCGTCGATGCAGAACTGATTCTGGTCGGAGGTCCGCGCGTCCCGTTAGCTGGGCTCGTGGCCGCAGAAATTACGTTGGCACCCGTCGCGCTCCTGGTCGCCGTAGATGCATCTGGTACTCTTAGCCGCGCTGGTGGTAGCCCCCCTGGTCGTAGCTCCCCTGGTTGTGAAAGCCGCGGTGGCCGCGGTTCTAGAAGCCGTGGCTCCCGTGCTTGTGGCGGTACTCGTGCGTAGGTGCCGTGCAGATTCTGCACGGCGTCCATGACCACGGCGAACTCCTGGACTTCGAGCAGGGACCGACCGTCCCGGCATTCCTATTGGCCTACCACGACATGCTCTTAGAATCCAGAGATTTTCTAAGTATAAGAAACAGCGTTCTTAGAACTTAAACCCGATGTGTTAAAACAAAGCAGTCCCAGCCAGAAATGTTCTAAGAACATCTCGTAGAGACCACAACCGGTTCTTAGAACATTGTTGGGTAAGCCTATAGGCACGCCAGGACGCGTCGCCCCTGCTTGAGGGCTGCTGGAGGGTACCCCTGCCGAGCAGCGTACGCCAAGCGGCACGCATCGGCCAGTCCACCGTGGTGGTCTCCGCGATGTGCGGGCAGTCTCGGCGCTCTGCCGGTAGCCGAGAGCCGCTGGATCGCTGCACTCATCGTGGGTCGGGCTCTCGGGCAGCGCGGAGCACCACCGCTGGTCTCGCAGCTCAGGTTAACGGCGGCGGGAAACAACAGGTACGAGTGTAAGAATGAAGGGCTGGAACTGAGGAGGAGGAGAAGGAGGAGGAGGAGGAGGAGGGGGACGAGGAGGAGGAGGAGGAGAAGGAGTCGGAGGGGGAGGGGGAGGGGAACAGAGGAGGAGGAGGAGGAGGAGGAGGAGGAGGAGGGAGGAGGAGGGGAACGGAGGAGGAGAAGGAGGAGGAGGATGGGGAAGGGAGGAGGAGACTGAGGAGGGAGGGGGCGGAGGGGAAGGAGAAATGCGAAAGTGTAGGAATGATAGGATGAAGCGGTGAGGCATGAAGAGATCTGAATTTCGCGTGGCCGATCGATCGGCGCACCGACGCTGACACGCCTCAATCGCTTGGCGGGTCGTGGCTCTGCTCTTCTTCTTCTTCCTCCTCCTCCTCCGCCTCCTTCTCCTCCTTCACCTCTTCTTCCGCCTACAACTCCAACTCCAACTCCAACTCCGTCTCCTCCTCCTCCTCCTCCTCCTCCTCCTCTCCTCCTCTCATCATCATCATCATCATCACCATCATCATCATCCTCCTCCTCCTCCTCCTCCTCCTCCTCCTCATCATCATCATCATCATCATCATCATCAGCAGCATCCTCATCATCATCATCATCATCATCATCAGCATCAACAGCATCGTCATCATCAACATCGTCATCATCATCATCATCATCATCATCATCATCATCATCATCATCATCATCATCATCATCATCATCGATGTCATCATCATCATCATCATCATCATCATCATCATCATCATCGTCGTCGTCCTCGTCCTTTGCTTGCGCCTCCTCCTCCACATCCTCCGCCCCGCTTACTTATAAACAACTCTTCCCTGTCGCACCCCGAGGACGGTCGAACGGGCGCGCCAGGCGCTTCGCTTGAGACTTCCTCACCATCCATGGTCGTGAAGCTTATAATCCCACCAGCCCTTTGGGCGTGAGTGGTTTAGGGAGTCCGCTCTGTTCTCAACCCCCTTCTTCCCTTTCGGGGAGGGGTTTACCCCTCCCCCTACCCCCTCCCCCTGGGCCTGGAGAGGGCGTTCCGCGGGTCGTTGGAGGGGTCTTTTTTCGACTCCTGGGAGGGACCCCTCACGAGGATTCTGGCCCCGACGGGGGGGGGAGAAAAGTGCTCGCCCCATCTGTGATCAATCGCCCGACAGATGGCCCCAAGATTCCTCCCAGACCCCTCCCAAAGAGCCCCAAGAGGCCCCAAGAGGCCTCCAAGAGGCCCCCAAGATGCCCCCAAGAGGCCCCCAAGAGGCCCCAAGAGGCTCCCCCGAGGCACCCAAGACGCTCCTGGAAGCCCCTGGAGCCGCCAAGAGGCCCCCAAGACGAACGGCCTCCAAGAGGCTCCCAAGAGGCCCGAAGAGGCTCCCCCCACCCAAGAACGAAGAAAGAGGGAAGAGGCCCAAGCTCCCCCCAAGAGGCCCCAAGAGGCCCCAAGAGGCCTCCAAGAGGCCCCCAAGATGCCCCCAAGAGGCCCCCAAGAGGCCCCAAGAGGCTCCCCCGAGGCACCCAAGACGCTCCTGGAAGCCCCTGGAGCCGCCAAGAGGCCCCCAAGACGCCCCAAACGGCCTCCAAGAGGCTCCCAAGAGGCCCGAAGAGGCTCCCCCAACGCACCCAGACGCTCCTAGAAGCCCCTGGGCTGCCGCCAAGAGGCTACTACTACTACTACTACTACTACTACGACTACTACTGACGCTACTACTACTACTGCTACTACTACTACTACTACTACTACTACTACTACTACTACTACTACTACTACTACTACTACTACTACTACTCCTACTCCTACTACTACTACTACTACTACTACTACTACTACTACTACTAGTACTACCACTACCACTGCTACTAGTACTACTGCTACTATTACTACTGGGACTACTACCACTGCTGCTAGTAGTACTAAGACTACCACTTCTACTATTACTACTAGTCCTATTACTGCTACTACCACGACTACTACCACTACTACTACTAAGACTACCATCACTACTACTCCTACTACTACTACTACTACTACTACTACTTCTTCTTCTTCTAAATATAGTACTACTACTTCTACTCATGGTGCTACGGCCGCTACTACTACCAGCGACGGCTACTGCTACTGCTACTGATACTGATCGTGTCACTGCTACTGCTACTACTACTACTACTACTACTACTACTACTACTACTACTACTACTACTACTACTACTACTGCTACTGCTACTGCTACTACTATTATTACTACTAATACTACTTCATCTGCTACTACTACTACTACTACTACTACTACTACTACTACTACTACTACTACTACTACTACTACTACTACGAGGGGCCCGAACGACTCGCACCAGGACGAGGTGCCCGAACGCCTCACACCACGAGGAGCCCGAACGACTCACACCAGGACGAGGGGCCCGAACGACTCACACCACGAAGAGCCCGAACGACTCACACCAGGAGGAGGGGCCCGAACGACTCACACCAGGACGAGGCGCCCGAACGACTCACACCACGAGGAGCCCGAACGACTCACACCAGGACGAGGGCCCCGAACGACTCACACCACGAGGAGCCCGAACGACTCACACCAAGAGGAGCGGCCCGAACGACTCACACCAGGACGACGGGCCCGAACAACTCACACCACGAGAAGCCCGAACGACTCACACCAGGACGAAGAGCCCGAACGACTCACACCACGAAGAGCACGAACGACTCACACCAGGAAGAAGGGCCCGAACGACTCACACCAGGACGAGAGGCCCGAACGACTCGAACCACGAGAAGCCCGAACGGCTCACACCAGGACGAGGGGCCCGAACGACTCACACCACGAGGAGCCCGAACGACTCACACCAGGAAGAGGGGCCCGAAGGACTCACACAAGGACGATGGGGCCGAACGACTCACACCACGAGGGGCCCCAACGACTCCCACCAGTCGCCGTCGTCGTCGTCGTCGTCGTCGTCGTCGTCGTCGTCGCCGCCGCCTTCGTCGTCGTCGTCGTCGACGTCGTCGTCGTCGTCGTCGCGGTTGTGGTCGATATCGTCGTCGTCGTCGGGTGCGTCGTCGTTGTTAGGATCATCGCTGTGGTCGTCGTCTCCGCTAAATCCCTCTTGCCTCCCACCGCTTTCTCTCCCTCCTCCTCCGCCTCGTCCTTCTCCCGCTCCCACCACAAGGAGAATGCACAAGGAGGCGAGAGGAAGGAGGAACAGGGGACATATGCGGGGGCAAGCGGACACACGCATGAAAAACACGACTGTCGGCATGCTTCGCAAGAGTTGCTGTTTTGAGATGGGCTGGTGGGGATACGCGAAGCGTAAAGAATTCGTTAAAGCTTCAAGGATGGAGGGCGGGTCGCTTGCAAAATGTGGCTCTCGCCTCAGCGCCGCGCACATTCGTCTGAACAAATGCACAAGTTCCACGAATGCATGGCGGTTTCGATGTGGCTCTCGCCTTGGCGCCGAACACGATCGTCTTCAAAGTTTGCGACTGCTTCACGGATGGAGGGCGGGCGGTTGTCAAAATGTGGCTCTCGCCGTAGCGCCGCGGGCACTCGTCTTAAAGATTGCAAGATTTTTACGGATTGAGGGCGGCTCCTTTTCAAAATGTGGCTCCCGCCTTAGCGCCCCGCGCATGAGTCGCAAAAGCTTGAAACCGTTTCACAAATCGAGGGCGGCTCCTACTCAGAATGTGGCTCTCGCCTTAGTGCCGCGCACAATCCTTCTAAGAGTTCGCAAACATGTTTAGGGGTCGCATGGTTAACGCCCCAGAAATGGTGTTTTGGCGCGATGCCGGAATGTTAGGGCGCAAAAGTCAAGTTGATTCGCTGTGTTGGAAGCCCAGAATGGCTTGCGGGCACGATACAGGATCCTCAAGACGCAACCGTAGCGGTGATTCGCGGCGTTGAAGTCCCAGTAATAATGCTCTGGTGCAGGTGCGGATTTTCAAACGGTTGTCGTCCAACGGGGCTCTTCCATCAGTGAAAATGAACCCTTGTGGTGGCCTATGCAGAGGGAACTTGGAGGGAGGGTTAATTACAAAATCGCTGATGAATCTTGGGTTTGCACTGGTCATCCTCCTCCTCCTCCTCCTCCACCTCCTCCTCCTCCTCCTCCGTCTCGACCTCGACCCTACTCATCGATCCTCGACCCTCGCCAGGGCTAGTTTCTCGCCGCAGAAGGGCCGGCCGCTCTGGCACCCGCATAGAGTGTTGCCTCATGCTGGTTGCTGTTTAGTCCAAGGGCCCCCTGGCCAATGCTGACATCAGGAAAAGGGGTCCTGATCTTAGGTCGGGCGTCCCCCTACAGGCGGACCTTGAACGGAAAATAAAAATAGTCAAACAAATATTAAACATGATCGACAAATCGTCCCCAGACTATTTTCAACTAGTTTTGAACATTTCTCCTGCACAGGGACAGGCCCGACTGAATCCTGGTCTGAGCTAGGTCACCAATCTTCGCGCATTGCGCCCCGCGATGCGCGACGCGCAAATATCTCCGCGCCCTCGCGCCGCCCCCCCCCCTGGAGAAGGAAAGCCGTCTCTGACCCAGACCGCCACGCGCGAAGCGCAGGTATCTTCACGCTCCTGGGGGCGACCTGGTTGAACCGACCCCCATCCCCCATGGCGTGGCCTTCGGCCCCACAGGCCGCCTTGGTGGGAATAGTTGTTGTTCCCTTCGGGCTTCTCAGGCCCTGTCCCCACCTGGGGTCCGGGCTGGTAGGGTTGAGATGCCACGGCCCACTGGGGATGGGGATCGGTTAGACGATGCTGGTGGAAACGGGTCCTAGACTTGCGGGCTTCTCCCTGGAACCACTTTGCCATCCCGGGCCGTGTCTCGATGGCCCCCAGGGCCCGGGAGGAGTCCCCCAGGAGCCCGAAAAGAGAGGGAGAAACCAGAAACCTCCAGGACTCCTTTCTTGTATACTGGCCGCCCCTGCCCTCCCCCCCACGGCTTCAGCGCTGCTGCCACAGGACTCTCGAGAGGCTTCGGAAGCAGGCGGGAAGGCCCCCCGCAGGCGCCCAGGAGCGCGAGCTGCTCCCGCCCCCGCTCCCGCGACACCGAAGCCGCCGCCGACGACGACGACGACGACGACGACGACGACGACGACGACGACGACGACGACGACCGTTCGGGAACGCTCCGCGCTCGACTGCGGCGCGTCGGCCGAGGCCGCGGCTTCGCGGCGGGAGGCTCTGCGGCTCCTGCCGCGGAGCTTCTGCTCGCCCTGCTCGCCTCGCAGGCCTCCCCCCCTGCGGCCGGAAGCCGTTGCCCGTGGCGCGGCGCGGCGGCGGCCCCGGCGACGCGCTCGGCCCTGCGAGCGGACGGAGCGTCGCTCTGCCCTCCGTGGGGCAGGAGGCATAGGGGGCGACGATAGGGGGGGACTGGCATAGGGGGGGGATGCATCGACCCTGGAACCGACGAGACACCGCCGACAGATCGGCGATGGCCCCAAGATGGTGAATCCGCACCCTCCTGGGCGGGTTGGTCCTATCAGACCCCTATCGGCGATCAATGGGCGACTGGGGGTCGATGCACCCACCCCATATGCCTATCCCCCCCTGTCGTTGCCCCTGAGAGGCTGGGAGAAGCGCAGGACGTTGGCGCCTGGGGACTGGGACGCGGTTCGCGTGCCGCAGTGAAGGGTGGGCCAAGACAGGCAAGGGGTCCACGCCTCCCTGGGCTTCTGCCTTCCTCCTCGTCCTCATCCTGCCCTCCCCGTCCTGCTCCGCTCCTGGCCCCCACTCTCCGCTCTCCTCCATCCTCCTCCATCCTCCTCATCCATCTTCCATCTTCCATCCTCCGCCATCCTCCGCCCTCCATCCTCCTCCTCCTCCTCCTCCTCCTCCTCCTCCTCCTCCTGTCGACCTGGACGGCCGGCACGGTGGTTGTTTGCTCATTAGCATCGAGACCACTGTCTGGGACGAGCAGACTGCCAGCAACGCAAGCTCTGCAGACACGAGCGCGAGGCAGGACCGCACGGACCCCTGGCCGAGCTGGCGAGAGTGGGCCGCGGAGACAGGGCCGAGCCGAGCAGGGAAAACGATAGGCCTATCAGGCAGGGTTGCAGTAGGGGCCGAAAACTTCCATGATAAACCCAAACCTGAGACCCCCAGACGTCCAGTGAATCTTGGCGTGGACACGTCATGCTGTCCATAGCACAACCATCGAAACCCAAGAAACCCAGGGCTGCCTGGAGGCAGGCAGGGTGGTGCTTCTTGGCATGGGCCCCACTGTGCAGGAACAGCCCAGGTAGGGATCTGCATCGTACTCCCAGGAGGCTGCAGATTCACATTGGAAGGGACCTGTCAAGCTTTCGCCAGGCCTGCGCAATGACCATAATTAAGAGCACGAGTGCAACTGAGCACAGGAGGGCGTGCAGGCAGCTACGGAGCTCGGACATGCAGAAGCAAGGTGCGGACGACGCTGCAAAGCCCTAGGAAAGCAGAGCATTGACAGCGCGAACACCAAATCTGCAAGTGGGCTGGGCTCACACGAGGAGCGTGCGGAGGCCGCCCGCTGGACTCACCCGTGGCGGCGCGACGGCGTGCGCGCGGCCGCGCGGGGGCCGAGCGCTGGAGGGACACGCCGCCGCACGTGAACCCGGCTTTCGCCCATGCTGGCCGCGCAATGAGGAGGAGGAGGAGGAGGAGGAGGAGGAGGAGAGGAGGAGGAGGAGGAGGAGGAGGAGGAGGGAGGAGGAGGAGGAGGAGGAGGGAGGAGGAGGAGGAGGAGGAGGGAGGAGGAGGAGGTAAGCCCCGAGAGCTGGCGCATCTCTCCCGCCGGCCCTCCGCCAGAGGAGAGGCGGCCTCGCTCCGCTCCCGCCCGGACTCCCGCTGGCCTGCCCCCGCCGCTCTCTGTCGAGGGAGGAGGGGCGGGGCGACCCTCGTCGGGCAGCTCCCCGTGGGCACCTCACGGCGGGCCAGCCTCCTCCTCCGCCTCCTCCTCCTCCTCCTTCTCCTCCTCCTCCTCCTCCTCCTCCTCCGCCTCCTCCTCCTCCTCCTACTCCTCCTCCTACTCCTCCTCCTCCTCCTCCTCCGCAGGCAGGCAGGCCGCCGGGTCCCGCAGTTCTGGTTGCTGCCAGTGGCGAAGGTGTTCGCGGACGACGGGTTGACGCGCTCCTCGCGCACCAGGGCTGGGGCCGTAAGGGGGAGGTGAGCGAACAAAGGCACGGGTACGTGTGCGCCCTCTGCGGTCCCACGTGCACAAGTGACCGCGTTCAGACGCGGGCCACTGGAGGCTGACCACGCATACGTGAGTTGATGGCCAAGCAGAGGAGAGGGCGGTCCTCAACGACCAGAAAGAACCCAGCGAGGGAGCCCCCCGGCTGCCCCCGGCTGCCCCCTCGCTTGGTTGGCTCACGTCGCGATGGCGTCGGCGTTGAGTCCTGACACCGCGTAGACTTGTTCAGCCTTGAACGATCGCGGGCTCAGATCGTTTCGAGATCGCCCTTCTGGACCACTGGCGGCGATCAACCTGGAACGCCCGCGCTGGGGTTCGCCGCCGCGTCAACGTGGCCTGAATCCACCTGCCGCTCATCACATTCTGATCAAGGCTGGGGGGGGGCTGGCGCAGGCACGTGGGCACGAGCGCGCGCCTGCGCACACGCTTGCGCCGACGCGCAGCATGGGCACGCGCACGCGCAGGCGCGCGCAGACGCCAGTTGTACGACGCAACTTCTGTGCGTTCTGTCTGCCGACACATGGCGGTGGTTGGAAGCATGGAAAGGTCAGAGGTCAGAGGTCAGAGGTCAGGGCAGCGACGGTTGAGCTATGCAGTGGAAGGCCTCAGTTGGACAGTGGGCAGCGCAACGAGCATTACAATAAGAAGGAGCTAAAGCACCAGTGGGCACGGGCGATACAGTCGCAAAGAAAGAAAAGGAGACCCGGGGGAAGAGAGAGAGAGAGAGAGATAGTGAGAAAGAGAGAGAGAGAGAGAAGAAAAAAAAGAGAGACTGATACACAACATTGAAAACGGACAGATAGAGAGAGAGAGAAGCAAAGAGAGAGAAAGAGAGAGAAGGAGAAAAGGCTAGAAAGAGAGAAAGAGAGTGGGAGAGAGAAGGAGAGATACGGAGAGAGTGACCGAACTATGGGAATATCAGGCGAAAAGGACGAGGGAGAAAGAGATTCAAGGGGAGCAGGGGGAAAGAGGGGGGCACTATACAGAGGCAGAACATGTAAAAACGAGTGACTCAGAGTCAGAGCGTGAGAGAGGGAAAGGGAAAGAGAGAGAGACACACACATAAATATATATAGAGAGAGAGAGAGAGAGAAAGCAAGATGGAGTCCCCAAACGTCATGCCGCCGGCGCCGTTGCCACCGTAGCCGCCGCGTCCACCGTAGCCGCCGTTTGCACCTCGGCGCGCCGTCAGCAGCACACTCTCGTCTGCAGGAGTTCCCGCGCGGGACTAACGCGCAGACGAAAGCACCCAACGCCGCCGAACCCGAACTGATCGGTCGGATCGTGTCGCAGGACATTTTCGCCTGCTCACCCCTATCGTCCCCCTTGAGCTTTGAGGTAGATTTGGTTGTCCGCGGCTCTCCTCCTCCTTCTCCTCCTCCTCCTCCTCCTCCTCCTCTCCTCCTCCTCCGCCTCCTCCTCTTCCTCCTCCTCCTCCTCCCCCTCCTCCTCCTCCTCCTCCTCCTCCTCCTTCTCCTCCTCCTCCCCCTCCTCCTCCTCCTCCACGTACTACTCCTCCACGTCCTCCTTCTCCTTCTCCTCCTCCCTTCTAGCAGCTGTTGCTCCAATTCACCGCCTCGTGCGGGGCAACACACCGCACAGGATTTCAAGCGCTCGTCTTCCGGCTGCAGGCGGCCAGGTCTCGGAGCTCTCCAGCTCCTCTGCCGCGTTGGCTCGACAGCTTAGCATCGACATGCGCATTGGATAAGACAGCCTGGAGAGGCAGCAGTCCTCCCTCCTCCCTCTCGGTCGCGCCACGGAGCGCTTCAGACTTAATTTCGTATGTTCGTTTGCTCCTCCTCATCCTCTTCCCCCACCTCCTCCTCCTCCTCCTCCTCCTCCTCCTCCTCCTCTTCCTCCTCCTCCTCCTCCTCCTCCTCCTCCTCCTCCTCCTCCTCCTCCTTGGACGTGTGGCTCTGCGAAGCGTGCGGCTTTTTCTCGCACCGCCCGGCGGCCCGCAGCTGGGCGTAAGCCTGCGCGCCCCGTGCTCGCCAGCGCCGGCTGCCGCTGGCACCGTCCACCTGGAGCGGCGGGGCCACAGGCTGCGGCCCGAGGCCTGAACAGCGGCCAGCGGGGCGCTCCGACGAAGCGTGCACGGTTTCCCCCGGGGCCGTAGGCGACCCGAGGGGGAGGACGAGGAGGTGGAGGAGGGGGAAGGGGAGGAGGAGATGGAGGAGGATGAGGAGGAGGAGGAGGAGGAGGATGAGGAGGAGGAGAAGGAGGAGGAGGGGGAGGGAGAGGGAGGGATGAGGTTGAGAAGGGAGGAGGAGGAGGAGGAGGAGGAGGAGGAGGAGGAGGAGGAGGAGGAGGAAGAGGAGGCGGAGGAGGAGGACGAGGAGGAGGAGGAGGAGGACGAGGAGAAGGAGGAGGAAGAGGAGGGGGAGGAGGAGGAAGAGGAGGAGGAGGAGGAAAGGGAGGAGGAGGAGGAAGAAGAGGAGGTGGAGGAGGGGGAGGGGGGGGAGGACAAGTTAGGTGCGCTCGCGTCAACATCTGACATCTTACCCCTCCCTCCCATCCCTTACCATGGCGCTGATTTTCTCTATCCGCGGACGCGTATCGTAGCGGAACTGTGGCTCCGCGCGCCTGTGCGTAGTGGGTGGTGGTGCGCGTGCGTGCGTGCGTGTGTGCGTGGTTGTGGTTGTTGTGGTGGTGGTGTGTATGTGTGTGTGTGTGTGTGTGCGTGTGTGCGCGTGCGCTGTGGTGTGACGTGGTGTGGCGTCTTGGTGGTTTGGTGGTGGGCCAGGTGCGTACGTGTGTGATGGCGGTGGTGGTGGTGGTGGTGGCGGTGGTGTGTGTATGTGTGTGTGTGTGTGTGTCTGTGTGTGCGTGTGTATGTGTGTGAGTGTGCGTGCGTGCGTGTGTGTCTGTGTGTGCGCGCGTGTGATGTGGTGTGACGCGGTGTAGCGTGGTGGTGGTGGGTGGGGTAGTGCGGTGGTGGTGGCGGTGCGCGGTGGTGGTGCGCGTGCGTGCGTGCGTGCGTTGGTGGGTGGAAGTGGCGGTGGTTGTGCGTGCGGCGGGGCGGGGCGTGGTGCGGCGCGGTGGTGGCGGGCGGATGGGCGCGCGAGAAAGAGGCCCGCGCTGGGGCGAGAACGCCATCCTGAACGACGGAGGCCAAACACCGATCCGAAAATGAGGCCCACGCTGCAGCGGGAGCACGATTCGGAACGATTCGGGAGCAGAAATGAGGCCGGCGCCTCAGCGAGAGCAGCATTTTGAAAAAAAACGCAAGCGAAAACCGAACTCCCGGAAATCCTGTGCAAAAGAACAGTACGCGGGGGGGGGGGTCGGCCACTCCCAGCACGCCATCAGGGGAAGAGGGGGAGTAGTAGTCATATTGAGTAATTGTGGAGGAGGAGGAGGAGGAGGAGGAGGAGGAGGAGGAGGAGGAGGAGGAGGAGGAGGGGAGGAAGGAGGAGGAGGAGGAGGAGGAGGAGGAGGAGGAGGAGGAGGAGGGAGGAGGAGGAGGAGGAGGAGGAGGAGGAGGAGGAGGAGGAGGAGGAGGAGGAGGAGGAGGAGGAGGAGGAGGAGGAGGAGGAGGGGGGGGAGGGGGAGAAGGAGGGGCCGCCTAAACCCTTCGGAAAAACCTCCGAACAAGGTAATTGACGTCGTCGTCGAGGTCGTCGGGGCCCAGCCTGGAGTGCGGCGCGGCGGCCCGAGCTGTGGCCCCCGTGCCATGGGCCGCGCGGGGCAGGACGCCCGGCGGCGCGCGTGCGAGGGGCGCGCCGCCCGCTTGTGAGCGCAAGGGCTCGGTGCTTCGGCGCTGCGTGGCCTTGTCTGCCGTAGTTTCATTGGACACCTCCTGGGCCTAAGCCTCCTCCTCCATCGCCGCCGCGTCCTCTTCCTCCTCCTCCTCCTCCTCTTCCTCCTCCTCCTCTTTCTCCTCCCCCCTCCTCCTCCTCCTCCTCCTCCTCCTCCTCCTCCACCTCCTCCTCCTCGTCTAAGCGGCGCCACCCTGGGCCCTGTTGGTCGGCGGCTCTGGCGCCTGCGCGCCAAGGGCGGGGGCAAGAGACGCCATGAGGAGGAGGAGGAGGAGGAGGAGGAGGAGGAGGTGTGCGAGGATGCTGATGATGATGTTGCTGATGTTGATGATGCTGATGGTGATGATGGTGATGATGATGGCGATGCTGATGATGATGACGATGATGACGACGATCGCCTTCAATTCTGTGTGCCAGAGGCTGTCCTTGCTGCGGGGGCAGGGGCACGGGTTCCGTCGATCGACAGACATGCGATGGACATCCTGCAGCGGCGAAACCAAAACGATATTACAAGTAGAACAAGGCGAGAGCGGGAGGGAGAGGCGGGAAACTGGAGCCGCAGTGGCTGCGGCACTCGACATTCCAAAGGTCAAAATACTCAGCATGCTGCTATATGATCAGCTTCCATTCTGGTTGCATGAAGCTGTCTGTGCTGCAGGGGGGCTAGGGCACGGCTCCCGACGACCGACGGCCATGCGAGAGACATCCTGCAGCGGCCAAACCATATCGATATTACATGGAGAACAAGGCGAGAGCGGGAGGGAAAGGCGGGAAGCTTGATCCGCAGTGGTTGCGGCACTCGACATCCCAAAGATCACAACACCCAGCATGCAGCTGCACGATCAGCTTCCGGTCTGTGTGCCAGGCTGTCTTTGCTGCAGGGGGCAAGGGCACGGCTCCCGACGACCGACGGGCATGCGAGAGACATCCTGCATTACTAGGCAGACTTGCAACCCCTGGCCGCCAGGCCGACGAAAACATTCAACCACGTTCGCGCTCGCGGGGCGAAGCGACTGAAGCGAACGCCCCTAAATTTTCAGCCGCCGAGACCATCCAGTCGGAACCCCAACGGACGACATCCCGAGGGAATCTATGAGAAGAACACTGCCGCGGCACACCGCGCGGGTCCAAAGATATTAAATAAGCGTGAAACCGACGAGGACTCGAACACCTGTGGAAGGAGCCAGCGCAGGCGGGTCGAACGTCCAGCGGAGGCGACGCGACAGCCCAAGACCAAATCTTCGTAGGCCGAGGGTGCGCACTACCATACTGGCACAGGTTTCAATCCGCCGCTTGCGTAGCATTGGACATATCATACCCGAAAGAAGCCAGGCGCAGCATGGGTGACGCGGCCCAGACTTCAGCATGCACAGGGACCCTTAAGCGATGGCACTCGAAGATCAAGGAAGGCAAAGGGCCACAGAAAGCCCGAGAGCGAGCCGGGGGGGGGGGGGGGGGGGGCAGGGCCCGAGGCAAGGGAGGCCCAGGCGCCCAAGACAACCGACCCACGAAGCCACCCCAAGATCCTCTGGCGCACCGCGGGTCGAGACCAATCGAACCCCACATGCCCGCACGCTGCGAAGGGTCGACGCAGCTGGCGGCGAAAACTAGCGCGCGCAAGCGCATCGCGATAGGGCGAGTAGACCTCCCGAGCCCAACAAACATACTGCTAGCTCTGACTGAGGCGGCCTTCATAACAAATGTCAGTTGGCGCGCCAGATTGCCGCCCACCTGCCAATCAACGCGGGCCTCGCTTGCCCGCGCAATGTCGAAGGAGGCTGCCGCGGGATCTGCAGGGGGAGCGCGCCGCCGCGACTGGCCGCCTCGAAGAAAGGTGCGAGGCGTCGGCCCACCTGAAGTCCGAAAGAAAGCACCGCCTCTCCCAGCATGTTTATACTTTGCTGCAGCTTGGTCCGCTTGGCATATCTGCGGAGAGAGCAGTCCGTGATCCACCTTCCACGATCCGTGACCTCTGCAAAGGTCTTGCGCGCCCCGAGCAGGTCGTCGCTCGCCGCGCCGCGGCGGAGGACGCACAGCGACGGCTGGGCGGCCAGCCCGAGGACCTCGGCGGCGCTGTTGAATGCGCCCCGCACCTCTGTCACCTAGAAGTCCCGCAGAGGCGAGGCGCCAGAGCGAGCCGCCTTCAGCGCCGCCCACAGCGGCCACCAAGCCGCCTGGTCCAGCGCAACGCTCTCGTCGGTGACCCCCGTTTTGCTTGGCCTGCCGTCATCCCCAGGGTTGCGCACCAGACCCCGCTCGGCGCACTTCTCGCCGGCTGAAGGGTCAGGCGGCGCCAGCGAGCGCCCGCGCAGACGGAAGGCCCCCGAAGGCCGCAGGTAGCCGGCCAAGGACAGGATTACGAACATCGCGAGCGGGATCTGGCGCCTCGCGAACACCACGCCCACGATCGCCAACGCTGCGGGCCGAGGGATCGGATGGCGCACGCAGGGCGGGCTCAGCTTCTTCCAGCCGCCCATTGCCTTGCAGGCCCTCGGTTGAACAGCGCGGATGGCGCCCGACGCAGGCAGAAAATGGCGCGCCGCCCCCAGCGCCGCGCGGCCCGTGGCTGCGTCGAAGCCGTCTAAGGCCAGGCGCGCCAGGAAGGCCGTCAAGATCACGTCGAGCTCCTGGGTCGTAGAGAAGTGCAGCCCCATCCACAGGCGCCAATTCACCAGGCACTGCGCGTGGGCGGCGTAGTGCTTGGCCGTCGCGTCGGCGAGCGCCGCCGTCTCGAGCATGCTGAGGCAACCGCCATTCAGCTGCAACGCAGAGGACTGCGGGGCCAGCCTCTGGCGCGCCAGTGCCATGGCACGCAGGGGCCGCCCTCGACGCGCGACCACCTGGCGCTCCGACCGGGGCGGGGCCGACGTCCTGCCACCCGGGCGCCGCGAAGAAGCCGCTCCGCGACGGGGCGTCGGATAGGTTGAACTCCGACGGGGCCCACCTCGCGCGCGCGCGGCAGCCCGAGGCCAACAGCAAAGACGCGAAGCTCCTCAAGGGCCGCGCGAGGTTCGGGCCCCCCCGCGCCCTTTGCCCACGCTGAGAACTAAAGCAAATATGTGGGCGAACAAGACCAGACGGTGACCCAGAAGAGGCCCAGAGCGGAGAAGATGACGTAGTGCGAACACAAAGGCGCACCCCTCGGGCTCCAAGATATTCCGAATCTCGAACGCGCGACTCGAACGCACGCCCTTCCACGGGGATCTCGGAGATGGAGGAGAGGTCGCGCGCGACGGACAGGGGGGCCGTCGAAGTCGGCGACGCCCTCGGCACCGAGAACCCCCCGCGGGCCTTCGCGATCCCCAAGGGGCTCTTGCCTCAAAATCTCGGGGGGGGGGGGGGGGGGGGGGCATATCCACGTCGAGCGCAACCCCGCTGCGGCGCAGAACCCGATTCGCGAGGCACAGGAGCGCAAAGCACTGAACTAACTCCGATGGAAGCTCCATATGATCAAACGCAAACTGAAGATCTGCCGACGCCATATAGCCGATGGCGTCGGGGGCGATCCCCACACCAGACCACGCGGCACTCGTCGGCAACTTCGCGCTGGCTGGTTCGGAGAAGGACAAGTTGGCAACGCGGGCGTCGAACACCACCTGAGGCCCCAGTCATTCTTGGCCACAAAGGACACCCCGACCGCAGGCTGCCCCTGCCCTCGACGGACGCGGAACCGCAGCATGCCCGCCTCATCAAATCGACGAAGAAAGTCGGCGTAACGGTCGGGACAGAACAAGAGAAGAGGGTCGACATAAAGCTCGACGAGTCCAGACTCTCGGCGTCTAGCGACGGCCGTCGACTCCGGGATAGCCCCAGCCTGTCGAGGGCGGCCTCGCTGCAGATGGATTCCAGCGGCGTCGGCCTCGTGCCAGCAGCAGGCCAGGGCGCGCGGTCCGCGGCGCATGGTCGAACTGTGGTATCATCTTCACAACGTCAATTACGGAGCAGCTCTGCGAGGGCGGCGTCCGGGGTGGCGTGGCTAACGAAGGTCGGCAGGCCAATCGAAGTTCTTGAAACGATCGGCGATGCCACCAAGAGCGAGCCTGAGGTCGGTTGCACGCGTCAACTGGCGCCGCCACCTCAAGAGCAAATCGCTGGCCGTTCATCTCACTGAAGGGGTTCATGCACTCGCTGGCCCGGGCCCGCCAGGCAAGCCCACGATCGCAACGCTGCCGACCCCGCCGAGACCGAAGAGGACCCCGCCTGTCGTCAACAGCAAGCCGAGGAAAAGGTAAAAGGTTGCGCTGCCGATCACCAGGGGCAGCCGGCATCGCGAAGCTGTGCAGCTCGGGGCCCAAGTGCACCTCAGCGGGCTCAAGGAGGAGCGGGCCGCCGCGGAGGCGTGGGAGGCCGATCGCTATTGGCGCACTGCCCGCTCCTCGCGGGCCTTCCCGCGCCCCTCGGCGCCCGCAACCTCTGCCTTCGACTCATCTGCAATCCGCATGCTCAGCAGCGGGCGCGCGCACACGTTCCCACGGCTCTCCTGGGCGCCCAGGAACAGGTTGTTCTCGACGCGGTCGTCCACCACGTGGGACTCATCCTTGTCCTTCTTGTCACTGCCCTTCGGTTTGAAGGCCACCTCGGCCACCTTCTCCCCCGGCAGCTGGAGGCGCCTCGCCGTCATCTCCAGGTGCGCCAGCTCACCGACGTTCACCTGGTCGTAGCACACCGCGACCTCCAGGATCCTACAGAGCAAGGGCTGCCCCCTGGTGACCGGATCGTCCTCCAACGTCTTCCACTCAGTCATCCCCTTAGTGTGCCAGGTTGCTGGAGACGAGGCGTGGCGTTGGATGCGGGCGCAGACCCAGGCCGCCGTCCAAGGCCTCGAACGGGCCAGTCGGCCCACGCCGCCGAGGTGCGCAGCATGATGCCCTCGCGGAAATCACGCCAGCGGTCGCCCCGCACGTTGTAGCTCACGGAGTTCGCGCGCAGGTCAGCGACCCCAGCAGCAGCAGCAGCCACACCAGCAGCAGCGCCAGCCCCGGCGGCGACGCCTGCGGCGCCCGCCGCAGCCAGCAGGGGCGGGAGCCTGCAGGCGCGCCAGCCGCAGTCAAGGCAGGCACCCCTCCAGGCGGAGGGCCCAAAGCGGCGGGCAGCGCCGCGGCAACAGCACGAGCGGCCCCCGCCAAAGCGGCCACCACGCCTGGAAGAGCGACTCCACCAGGCGCGGCCGCGGGCGGCAGCAGGCCAGCGGCAGGCGCGGGGGCTGCGGGCAGCGCCAGGGGCC